ACCCGCCTGCGGCCCCATAGGCTACCCCATGCCAGGCGACAAGTTACGGAGGAGCTCATACAGACCATGGCCCACAACGGCATTATTGAGCCCTCGGACAGCCCGTGGGCCACCCCGGTGGTGCTGGTGCGTAAGAAGGGGGGCGGTTGGTGGCCCTGCATGGATTACAGATACCTCAACGCAGTCACAAAAAAGGACCTGTATCCCCTGCCTCAAATAGACGATGCCCTGGACTATGTGGCTGGCTCATCATGGTTCAGCTCTTTGGACCTGAGGAGCAGATACTGGCAGGCGGAGCTGGCACTGGAAGCAAAGGCCAAAACAGCTTTCATCATTGGACAGGGGTTGTGGCAGTTCCAAGTGATGCCGTTTGGGCTATGTAATGCTCCTGCCACCTTCGAGCATCTCATGGAACGGGTGCTAGGCGACATACCTCGGAGCCCGTGCGTGGTGTACCTAGATGACCTGCTGGTGCACGCTGGTGACTTTGATGGGGCGCTTCAGAATCTGAGGGAGGTGTTCACTGCCATTCGGCGGGCTGGGTTACGGTTGAACCCAGCCAAGTGTAACTTAATGGCGACAGAGACATTGTTTTTGGGACATGTGGTCAGTGAGCATGGCGTAGCCACGGACCCTAACAAGGTATCTGCCATACGGGGCTGGCCCCCCACAACGTCCGTCACTGAGCTGCGGTGTTTCTTGGGACTATCTTCCTACTACAGGAGGTTTGTGAAGGATTTCGCCGGCATTGCTAGTCCCCTCCACCTACTCACTGAGAAAGGGCAAGCCTTCCTCTGGTCTGATGCATGTGAGGCAGCTTTCCAACAGCTCAAAACGGCACCTGTGCTAGCCTATATTGCGTCACCAGATGGGAACTACTGGCTGTCATCTTGGCGGTAAGACATTTTTGGCCATATCTCCTGGGCAGCCGGTTCTTGCTGCGTACGGACCATGCCTCACTCACCTGGCTGCTTAATTTCAAACGGGGGCATTGGCCTTCTACAGTTGTAGCCTGAGCCGAGCAGAGCGCAATTATTGCATCACCAGACGGGAACTACTGTCTGTCATCTTAGCGGTGAGACATTTCTAGCCATATCTTCTGGGCAGCCGGTTCTTGCTGCGTACGGACCATGCCTCACTCACCTGGCTGCTTAATTTCAAACAGCCTGAGGGCCAGGTTGCAAGGTGGCTGGAAGTGCTACAAGAATACGACTTCAAAGTGTAACATTGTCCGGGACACCAGCATGTCAATGCTGACGCCCTCTCCAGGCATCCGTGCACCGTGGAGGGGTGTCGGCACTGCCCGCGACAAGAAAGAGGTCAGGAGCCAGAAGCCGCGGCCGCGAAGGCCATCACTCATCAACCGACACATCTACAGCCTTGGACTAAAGAGCAACTGAGGCACCAACAAGGAGCCGATCCTGTCTTAGCAATGGTGAGGGGATGGCTAGAGATTCAACAGCGCCCCGACTGGCCCGCAGTGTCCTCAGAGGGACCCGAGGTGAAGGCACTGTACTCGCAGTGTGGTAACTTAGAGCTTCACGAAGGGGTGCTCTATCGGCGGTGGCAGGCCCCTGATCGGGTATCTAGTCACCTGCAGCTCCTGGTCCCTCATGCCCTCAGGCCGGAGGTTCTCTGGTGGGTGCATGGTTCGGTGGGGAAGGGACACTATGGCAATTCAAAGACTCTTTGTCGCCTGAGGCAGAGATTCTATTGGGCCAGGTGTCGGCAAGATGTCGAACTTCACGTCCACTGTTGTGACACCTGTACCGCTCAGAAGGGGCCCAGTCAGAGATCCCGCGTGCCCATGCAGCAATATCTGGTGGGGGCACCCATGGAGAGGGTAGGAGTGGACATACTGGGCCCGTTCCCCGTTACGGACTCCAGCAACCGGTACATCCTTGTGGCCATGGATTACTTCACTAAGTGGCCCGAGGCGTATGCAGTACCAGACCAAGGGGCCACTTCAGCCACTAAGAGGCTGGTGGAGGACATGTTTGCTTGGTTTGGGGTCCCCGGAGAACTCCACAGCCACCAGGGGAGAAATTTTGAAAGTCGCCTTCTCCGGGACGTATGTCAGCGTTTGGGGGTAAAGAAAGCACGCACTACTCCTCTCCACCCCCAGAGCGATGGGTTAGTGGAGAGGTTCAACAGGACCCTGGCTACTCAACTAGCGATCCTGATGAGTTGCCAACAGAGAGACTGGGATCAACACCTACCCTTAGTCCTGTGGTCGTATCGAACGGCAGTACAGGAGTACAGCCTGTGTACTCCTGCGTCCCTGATGTTTGGCAGAGAACTTCGCACATGAGTAGACTTGGTATTTGGATCACCTCCGGAGCCTGAGGTCCCCGGAGGTCCAGAGATGGACTATTACTGACGCCTGAGGGAGAGAATGCAGGTGGTACATGAGCTAGCACGGCAGGTGCAGAAGAACGCAGGACTGAGGCAGAAGCGAACCTATGATATTCGCTGCTATGGACATTCTCTGAAAACGGGAGATCAAGTGTGGATCTACTGTCCACTGTGGAAGAGAGATGTCTCTCCAAAGCTGGCAGGGACCGGGAGAAGTGGTGGATTGTCTCTCGGAGGTGGTGTTTCGAGTACGGATCCCAGGGAGGGGCAGGATAGTAGTACTGCACAAAGATTGGCTGGCGCCCTATCACCCTATGGCTCCAGCGGTAGACAGTGGTGACTGTGTCCCACCATCTGTTCCGGATGCCAGTGAGGAGGATCCTGCGGGGACCATACAGGAGGCAGGCCCTATGAATGGGGACCGGGAGAGGCCGGTGTGGCGACGGAGACCTCCTGGATATTATAGGGACTTTGTTTTGACTGATGGGGTCAGTGGGGACACTTGAACCCTCAAGGGGGGGCTGTGTGGTCCAGTGAGGGGGCTTATGTTATTAGGTATTGCCGGCTGTTACGTTGTTCATGTCGCTTTAAGAGACTGTTGAATTATGGGGGTTCTCATGTAAAAAAGAGGGGGAAGAGCCGGGGCAGAAAAACAAGTGTGTGATTGTTACCTGTTCTGTGTGAGTTGCTCTACATTGTTGAGGAAGGAAGAGAGCTAATAAAGAGTTACGGTGGTGTCTGGCGACGCTGCAGCAGACTCGCCTAAAAAGGCAAAACGGTGTGGATTTATCTGTCTTCATTGCGCAACAGGTTAGTCTCCAGTTAGGCCTAGGTTGCTCTAGGAATCATTACAATATTAATTAGGTACACATACGTAGACAAACTGCTCTGCCATACATGCATCTCGTACACACCTTCACATCAAGGTTTTGCCCATTTAACATTCTGTCCATTTACATGTAATACTTAACACTAAAGCGGTTACCAATTAAAAAGGCTATACTTTCAGTCAACATTCCACAATTCACTTCCCGCCTATGATGAACCCGCGCATGCATGCACACACAAAGCCTAGTATCATCAAAACCATTGTTTGGCAAATTAAAGAAACAACCCAAATAATGCCCCATGTACTGACTGGGCAAACTATACATCAATTTCACAATCCATTTCCCGCCTAACGCATGGCTCATGTATGAGAGGCCCCTTTGTTAGTATCATCAAAAACACTGTGCTTGCTGAACTTGAAATAATCAGTATGACTGGAAAAATAACTGACATCTCCCACCTGCGCGCGCAGAAGAAAAAACGCCTTTGACGTGTTTGTCAATGGCAATATAACACTAATTAAACTGGTTGAACTAACATTATCTCCACCTTTCAAAGCTGCTTTTTTGTAAAAAATATCAGCCTTTAAAAACTCAGTTAACACTAGCTTGCAAGCTAGTTAGTGTTAGAGCTACTAGCTAGCTAGGGGTAGGGCTACTAGCTTGCTCTAACGCTAAAGATTTTTAATCGTCAAAAATGGCCTCTATGTAGCCGCTGTGAGACGACCGCACAGGAAACACCTCTAGCTTGTTCTGATGAAACTTTGTCTGTAGCTCGTTGTCGACCTTGCTGCGGTTGTAAAAGGTGTCCCATGTGTATTAATGTTTGGCTTATGAGTTACTAATCTGGGAACTTTACCTAAATCTCAGCAGCATCTGTTGTCGTCACCCCCGCGGACCTCAGGGCACGCTGTATCTGTTACGGAAAACCGTATATACGTATACTAGTTCGGACTCAGTAAAAAGGCAGAACTCTGACTCAGGCTTAACCAGGTAAGGGTATTTTAATGACTACAGAAATGAGTGGTCAGAACCGGTCTCGTCAGCTGATCTCAGGGCAACGGAGAATGCTGGGTTGACTGGACTGCTAGAGCTACAACCCGAGGTTGTAGGAGATGCGCAGCTAGCTAAAGAAAAGCAGAGGATGAGAATGAGTAACAGTGACGCTAAGATTATGGCAATACTGATAGTTATACTGAGGGCCTGAATAGCAGAATTTACTGGCTCAAGTCAGGTGAACACCATAGGCATGAAACACAGTCCAGAGGAGGTGTAGGAGCTGGCACAGGAGATCACTGGTCCGGCGTGCAATAGATGGTGAGGATCAGGCTTGCAGCGGATGGTAGAGCAGGTAGCAAGATGGTGTGAGGACGGCTGACAGTTGGGATCCAGAGCCAGGCAACCAGTCCCAGCAAGAGTTGGTCTCCTCGTACTGAGGAGTGTCACCTAAAGAAACGGTTCATAATCCGGGCACCAAATGGTGCTAATACAAAAAGGCTGCAACCAACAAGCAGAGGGTATTTTGTTCTTTAACACTAGTCCACAGCAAAAACAGTTCAAACAGAAAGCAACCCTTCAACAAACAAGAAGGGCATTCAGTTTGTTACTACCTGAAATCAAGTCCATACATAGGGAATCCTAGTGATAAGAGCAAAGACAGGTTACCGGCAGGAATACAAGAGATCATCTGGCAACGATGGCACACCAACGCTCCCCTTAAGTGCTAGTCTGGTAATTGAGAGCAGGTGTGCCTCGCCGCCTAGAATGCCTTCCCACCTGTGCGGAGGCGGAGTTACTGTGACAGCCTGTGCCAGCAGATGAGGTGCTGGGGTTGGTCTGGGCCACGGATGTAACAGTATCCTGGGTAGTGGGCTGCCATATGGGAAAAAGTACGCACTTGTACATGCTGTCAAAAGTCTGCGAGTACTTGTTTATGAAAATTTGTAAATCCCATGCCCAGTGAGCAGTACATCTGATTTTAGATGCTTGCTGTCATCACTAACCTTTGTTTAGTTGCTCAACAGGCATACTGCATTTGTATGAGATGTAGCATTGCATTGTGGGATTTTTATACCACATGTTTATCACGTTTGGCAGTAGTCCTCCCTCAGAGACAGCTCTGAGTCAGCTGCTTGTTTCAGGTGTTTGGACCCTGGTGTGAGGCTTACTTAGTGCATGTAGGAGGAAGTGTGATTATGTTTCCTCCTGCAGGAGGCACTCTCTGCTCTACAGCTGTCAGAGGAGGAGGTGAACAATGTCGTTAGCTCTGAGTTCCTCACTTTGATTGGACGAATCCAGAATCAGGATGAAGAGCGATTGGCTGCTTTAGATGTGAGTCACACAAGTCTGACTAAGACTCTACTGTCTTTACTGCTAGTTAGCAAAACATGTTTGCATTTATAAAGCCTAAGCCATCCTACCTGTCTGTCTGCAGGTGTGCTGTGACTCTGGGGCTCATCATGCTCTCAGTCTCAGCAGGTGTGTGTTTATTGTGATGCGAGGAGCAGCATTACTATGGGAGACACACATACGCAGGTTAGAGAAGAGAGAAGAAGAACTACAACAACAGCTGGATGGTCTCCGATGCTCACAGCAACAAAACATACAGGTGAATCTCATCTTGTACACAGTAACCTGAAGGGCACACCTTCACTTGAGGTGGGCAGGGTATCTTGTGAGCAGGTAGGGGTAGGAGTGTCTCCCATGATGCTTTGCTGTTTTGTTTTTTAGAAGAAGAAGAAGAGTCTGGACGAGCTGCTGGGTGGACTCCGCCAGGAGAGTAGTGAGGAGGCTCTGAAGACCTCCCTGAACAAAACTGTTTGCTACCTGCAGGAAATCAAACACAGGTACTGCAGCAGACATGCTAATGTGAGTCATCCAAAGTGATTATTTCTGCAGGTCGCAGATCAGTTCATGGGCTGTTACTGTCTGTTACAGTCATTCACTGGATTTCAGAAGTACTCAGATCCTTTACTTCAGTAAAAGTACTAATGCAACAGTGTAAAAGCAATATTCTGCTTGGGTGAAACGACAGGTAAATGTACTCAAGGCATCGAAGTAAAAGTCTTTCTTCGGAAGAAAAATGGCCCCTCTGACTGGCATGTTGCAGGTTATCAGATTGTTATTGGTGCATTAATGAGTACATGTGAATTTCCCCGTTGTGGGATTAATTTCATCTTATCTGATCTTATCTTAAAATTTTCAGGTTCTGGTTTGTTATTTCCACCAGTGTATTTGACAAATAAACGTCGTTTCTCATGGGCCTTACAACAACAAACTGGACGGAGGTCTAACTTCCTCTGTGTGTATGTGTGTGTAGCTGCAGACAGTGTGTCTCTGATCAGTGTGAGGTGTTGGATCGTCTCCCATCTCTCTTTCTGGAGGAGCTCAACTCCTACAGCAGCAGCCTGAGCTCCTTCTACCACCTGGACCACGCCTACACACCGGTAACCATCGCAGCCGCACCTTACGCACACCTACATCTGCAGGTAACTATGACAAACACAGCTACGGCTCCTGGTAACCATAGCAACACCAGCCCCATCCCGCCATTACGGGACATGGAGATGAGGTTTGACCCTGTTTTGGTAACATTTGAAAACGTGTTGATGCTCCTTAACTTAACACACGTATGTTTTCTTTGTTCATGAGGGGCTAACAAACCTAGCTTGTGACGTGGCTCCTACTGTCTGAGCGAGATGACGACTTGTTGTGTGAGCAGCTCTGGGTAGTTGTTAGATAAAGAGAGAACGAGGCATTCATCCTCACGTTGTGGCTGTTGTAAGGGGCTTTGGTTCACAATGCAATTTTACGACTTGAATTGTTTTTTAATTTGAGCTCCTCTCTTGTCAAGTTGTGTTTTACCAAACTACTTTTTTTGTCTTTGAGTAATGAACAGGCAGAAAATGTCAGGTGTGCTTGTTTCATCACAGCAGACTGTAAGGCTGCAACCAACTGTTATTTTCATTATCAATCCATCTGAGTGCTTTTTTCTTTAATAATCAGTCAATTGCTCCGTGTATAAACTGTCAGGTAACTGTGACAAATGCTCTTCATTGTTCCCTGAAGCCCAAGCTAACATTCAGATGCCTTGTTTTGTCTGAGCAATAGTGAAGAGCCCAGAAATGTTGAGTTGAGCAGTTTCCTTTTACATGCCAGCAGTACGTTGTCCTAGTCAGGCTTTATATGTGAGGGTCAAACTCTCATGGGAATATTACCTTTATGGCATTATGGAGAAGCTGAGTTGCTCTTGGCAGAGGTTGCACTCTCTGAGTGCTGTCTAGTTGTTTTAAATAACTGAACACTACCTGAGATCCCCAAGAGACAAGGCTGCTGTTGGGTAGGGTGGCCATCAGCCTCCTTATTGGTGGAAATTATTTTGACTTCATGTCAGGTTGGAGTGGTCTTTTACTGCTTGCGGTGCATTAAAATATGAAGCTTTTGTAGTGTGCAGTGCATGCATTGATTGATTGTTGCCTGAATAGGCCTTACTCAGTCACTGTGCTGTGTGGCATGGGGGTGTAAGGCAACAGTGTGTCCCCAGTAAGGCCATGTTCTAGGGGAAGACGGTTTCCTATTTGGGGTGTCCTGAAGTTTTAATATTTTGGAATGTTAATAAAGATTGTGTATGTTTGTACTACACTTCTTTTAGTATCATGTATTCTTTAGCCTCTGACCCCGGACCGAACCAGGTGAACCGGGTGGCAGTATAACTTTGCACATGTATAGTCGGGGTCAGTGGGAGCCCCCACACACAGGGTGGAGCTGTGCATGGAAACACAATCCAGTACTGAGAGTTTTTCCTCTGCATTTTCAGCAGGAGCTGAATATTGAATGTTCAATAACACAAACACACACAGCGGGCAGGACCATGGACGCAGACTCTGCCCAGCCCTCACATGATTGGCTAACTGAGGTGAAGCTCTGATCAATGACAGACGATGAACAGTAATCGAGTTCTTATTGGTCCAAAAAAGATGTGTGTGTGTGTGTGTGTGTGTGTATGTATGTGTGTTCAGGCAGCGTCCTCTCTGCTGGAGCTCTATGACACAAGCAGCTGTGTCATGTTTACATCATCAAAGGGCGTGGCCTACACGGGCCCTGCCTTCAGATGTCTCGGCCCTGACCTGTCAGATGACCTGCAGCAGGAAACAAATCTGAGTCCGTTTCCTGTGGAGCTGATCACACATGCACTGACCAGGTACACACTCAGGCACACACACACATTTGTTCCCTGTACTTCTGAGGACCCACACTGACATAACTCACATTCCCTGTCCCTAACCCAGATCCCAAACTTTTAATCCAGAAGTAGTAAAGTCCAGTCAGCATGTCCACACAGTGTAGGACTGTCCCTACTGCAGTGGTTTAACTGGAATGAGTTCTCACAGACATGTCAGTACAAACTGACGTATGTATCATCATGGTGACTGAAGAGTGCCCTCTAGAGTTTACTGTGTGTGTGCTTGATGTCTAGGACTCGGACTCTGTTTTTGGACCACCTGGAGCAGCACTTCCATGACATCCTCAGCTCAGCTGTTGCCATGGTTGCAGACAGGAAGGAAGCAGTGTCCTCAGAGCAGGAGCTCCAGTTGCAGCAGCTGGACCCCCAACACATCCAGACCCACATATGCCAGCCCCGCCTGTGTAACACTTGCATGGTTTGCCTTTACTGTGTAGCAAGCAGTTTCCTGGCTGTAGATATGCAGTGTTGTGCACAAATCTGTGGACAGATGTGAGAACAGATGTGTCTTCTTAAGGAATCGACTGTATATATAATGGCTTGTTAGGCGAACAAGCTTTTTGTTTGTCTGAGTTTCAACTACAGGATAAGTAATGTTCAAGCTGATCTTTGATTTTAGATCTCCAGCGTGCACTGGTGGAGGAATGGTTAAATAGCTGGTGTAAAATGTTTGATATATTCACATCAGGATGGCATCAGCCAGAGCCACACTCTGCTGCGTCATCTGCTCTTTCACCTTTGCCTTTGTGTGTGATTGTGTGTTTGTTGTAGCCGAGCTGCAGTTGCACAGGCAGCAGATGGATGTTTACTGTGAGGAGGTGCTGGATGTGCTGACCTCCTGCAGGATGGCGCTGCAAGAGCTGCAGACCTCCATCAGCAGGAGGAACCAGGAGTTCACTGTCACTCTCTCCAACATGGAGGATGATGTCCTGACAGCCAACAGCAGCCAACGGTAATGGCCGACCTCTGATCAGCTGAGTGACTGATGAAGCACTGAGGCATCTGAAATGTCAATCATGTCTCTGTGTCCTTCTGCAGTCTGGAGGCTGTCAGCACCACCATCCAGGATTGTTTGGATCAACATATCAAAGACACCCAGTGCTGTCAGACCACCTTCAGACAGACTGCTCAGAGCAGACTGGAGGGGGTCAGAAAGACAACAACTGAACTCCTCAGCTCCTTCAGGTAACTCCTGGAGCACCTGGATGAGCCACCTGAAATAAGTAAAACCCAGAGAAATGGTCTTCAGGTGTGTTTTACCTCCTGCAGGTTGTTTAGTGAAGGAGGGGACTTTGCTCCTCAGGAGCTGAAGACGTTTCAGAGGACACTGAAGGAGAAAACCAAAGAGATCAGTGAGACTGAGGAGTCCATCTGCTTGGAGCTGGAGGCGTTTGAGTCCAGGAGTTTACAGGAGGTGTGACCTTTGACCTTTTGTCATCATTACCACCCTCTGTCAAAACAAAACACACCAGGCTTGATGTTGTGTTCCTGAACAGTATGGCTGTATGATGTAACTAAATATACATCACAATATATATTTGTCATATTGATTGGTATCAATAATTCTTGATATATGCATGTAAAACCATCAACAAGGAAGGAGACATTGAATGTTAGACCTCAAGGATACACACTGTGTTACAGTGAGTACTACAGAGTTCCATTATAATGTTGAGACTGTGGTCACTCAGGCAGATCCTCCTCCTGCAGGTGAAGGAGGTGTCAGATCGTCTGCAGGAGAAACTCTCTTTCATCAGGTCCGAAGTGAAATTCACAGAGAAGATCCAGAAAATGATCAGCAGCACTCAGGTTCACATCAAGGCCGAGGTACCTGTCTCTCTGACTGCCCGTCTGTCCATCCCTGTTTATCCACCTGTCTCTCTGACTGCCCATCTGCCCGTTCGTTTGTCCACCTGTCTCTCTGACTACCCGTCTGTCTGACCCTGTTTGTCCGCCTGTCTCTCTGACTGCCTGTTTGTCTGACCCTGTTTGTCTTCCAATCGGACTGCCTGTCTGTCCGTCCCTGTTTGTCTGCCTGTCTGACCCTCTCAGGCAGCCAGCAGTAACCAGCAGCAGTTGGTGATCGACAGCAGGTTGGAGGATCTGAGGAGGATGATGAAGAACACACAGGTACACACAGTACTACTGCAGTAGTACTCTGAACTACCATGTCACCACTACATTGCTCCTTTACTGGTGTAGTATTACTGCAAGCTACTGTACCTGTGTGATAATACCACCAGCACTGTCTGTCTGCAGGTGTCTCCAGATCAGTTTTTTTCTTTCCTGTCATCCATCAGTGAAGAACTCGGGATACGCTGTCAGTACCTGGACTTTAAGTTGGTAGGTCACCTCCTGTCTACCTCAGCTGTGTCTTGTTTAGTTGTATTTAACTTAATGTAGAATACTCTGGACCACAGCCTGTCTACATGGACGTCTTCTTCTTCTCTAGCTGAACTACTTTTTGTCTAACTGGACTATCTCTGGTCTACATGTACTTTGTATTCTGCTACCTCTTGTCTCTGTAGACTACCTGGATCTTTGTATGTGCTCCACATTGTGGCCATGAGGATTACAAATTGTGTGTTATTTTTGTGTTGATGACCCCACCCTGCAGGAAGTTCTCAGTCCGTCAGCTTGTCCTAAACCCACGAAGCAGGTCAGGTGTGCCCCACCTCCTGGTCTGCTGCAGCCCAGCAGGACAGGTGTGGACCTCCTCAATGACCCTGTCGTGGGTGTCATCAAGTCCCTGAACAGGTACATAGTCCAGCTAAGCCCGTTAAGTAATACTGCAGAGAACTCGAGTACTGCTGGAGTGTTTGTGGTACCTGTTACTTTTTCTTGTTTATCTTGTGTCCAACCATCTTGACTCATCAGGGTCTGTCAGATCCAGGATGTTGCTGCAGAGAGAGAGGACAGAGGAAGAACAGCTGCTGGTAAATATCTGTTTATTTGGCTCTGACTGAACTACAGGGCACACACTGAATAAAGTACTGAATAGAATCAGGGATGGTTTCTTTTCTCAGTGAACTCCATCCAAAGTCCCCTAAGGAGAAGAAACCTAAGCCAGACAGTCTTTGCTGTGACCCCCCTTTGCCTGTAAACAGTTGTCAGTACACTTCCCCACAGCGTTTTCAGGTATTTGGCAGGTTGGCTGTTGCAGCATCTCGAAGCTGCCACAGTTCATCTGTGGTTTCAGGCTGTCTGACTGGGTTTCCGTGGGTCCTTAGAAAGTTTTAAAAGTCTAAACGCCAATCATCTGAGTTTTAGGCCTTATAAAAACCTTAAGTACAATTTTGATAGGTCTTAAAAAATTCATCATGCTTAGGTTGATTATTTTGACTAGAGCTGTCAAAGTTAATGTGATAAAAACAAGTTAACGCAAATTCTGTTTAATGCCACAAAATTTTTTGACACATGATCATACATAATGTACAAATATTCTGTGACCATGGCCCTCGGCCTGCCCATTTAGGTGTCACTGTTGATAGTTTGCTGCTTGTAGAGTTGTCCAGGCATCTCCTTTGCAAACTATCCAGCGTGTTCTGCCTTTGGCGAGTGGGAGGGTGGCTCTCTGCATCAGATGTGCGCTTGGCCAGCAAGTGGTATTTGAGACTTGGCGTACTCCGGCATGATGCAGTGAGCCAAGTGGTTTCAGGGTTTTGGCAGAGTTATGCATATAAATTATTTCACCAAAGCCTATTGCAGGTAAAACTGTTGCTTGTACCAGCTGCCTCCTGTGACACTCATTAAAACAATCAACTTCTGTACAGAAACAAAAGTCTAGGCTTAAGAAAAGCAATTAATTTCTCAATATGAAACTTAAAACTCAGCTTGCCATCTAACCAAAAGCCAGACCTTGCCAATGACAGCACAATTTAAATTATGAATTTGACATTGTTTTCTAGTAAAAATCTTATACTTTTTTTTACACCCCAACCTGTTGAGGCAGAAGGCCGCCCACCGAGAGCCGGGGTCTGTTGGAGGTTTCTTCTGTTAAAACCGAGTTTTTCCTCCCTGCTCTCGCTGAGGGCTGCTCAGGGGGATTTGTTGGGTTTTTCCTCTGTAACATTAATAATAATATGGTCTAGACCTGACTTTGTAAAGTGTCCTGAGATGGTTTCAGATGTGATTTGGCACTACACAAATAAAATAAAACTTAATTAATTTGAAGGCATCACCTGTCTCACTTCTCATTTTCTCTTCACTGTCCCCTTCTCTATTTACTGAAGCCTGACAGCGGGTCTGTGTGTTTGCAGGTCAGAGTCCTGTCCAGCGTCTTCAGCAGAAATCTGCCGACTCTGTCAGTGCAGTGAGGTACATGCACACCTGTCTTTATGAGGACACTCATTGACATAATGCATTAGCCCTACCCCAACGTTACCATCTCAGTCTGAGAGGCTATGGCCTAGTTTTACTGCCAGTGGTCTGTGTGTCTGAGTGGATGTGAATGATCCTGAGCGTAGGAGGTGTCAGCTCTGATCACATCACCGCAAAGCGCCAAGAACAGTGAAGGCATTCTTTATCGAACATTTTTACAAATGAGTCTTTGTATGAATAACATGGTTCACATTTGCTCTTTGGACATTATGATAATACTTTAGTAGTATTATACTGTATCCAGTATAACCAGTGCACGCAGACTTGCTGGCTGGTTTCTTTACCCAGTATAACCAGTGCATGCCCAGAGGTGGAGGCTGCTGTAGAAACAGACAATAAATGACAGTATAGTAAAACAGTTGGAGCCATATAAAATACGTCTTCATAGTAGAATTTAGAAGAAACACTTTACACTAATTTTCCTTGGCTGCTTGTCAATTGATCACATTAATTAATTAATTGATTGCTCCTGGTGTTTTCCTCTCTCTTATTATATTATTATTCCTAAAATTAATGGACACAAGTTCACCACTTACTCGTGAGGTGTGGTCCAGGCTTCAGTGACATATTTAGAGTGGGTCCCGACTAACAGCTCCACATTAGGCCCAGTCTCCTTCAGAGGTTGCCTGGCCGTGATCATGTCTGGAAGGACTTCAACCTGAGAGGAGACTTAGTGGTTGTGATCTGTTACTGTTGGTTTTCTGGTCTGTTTTAACTTGTGTGTGTCAGTGTGAGGAGGGGTGGCAGGTCCATCAGGACTGACAAAAGGTTCCAGATCTTTGGACACAAACCAGAAGTGAGCAAACAGTGAGTAGAGTCTGGTTTAATCTGGCGATTCACCTGGTAGAGAATCACAGCCAGGTGTTCCCAGCTGTTAACACCTGTGTGTTTGTGTTTCAGCTCCTTCAGCTGCACCGTGAACTCTGTGCTGTGGAAAGCCAACAACGTCCTCCTGCTGGTCGGCGAGGTAACAGACGCACTGTTCATGTTCATGCTGATGTGGATCAACATCAACACTGTCCTCTCGGGAATCATGGTCAACATATGGTTCACTGATAAACCACCACCTGTTTGAAAATCATCTCAAATACTAAAGTGGCGCGAGGGCTCCACAGTGTTCATCTGTATAACGCCATCTCCACACTTGGTCCCAAATCATCCCAGAACCGTAGCTGGTGTCAGTGATCATATCCACATTTATTTACAAACTCAAATAACCAGTGAATGTATCTGTTGAACAGCAGTTTAAAGTGTGTGAATCTCAGTGTGCAACTTTAAATGTCAGTCCGTCTGCACTGACAAATGGAAGACGTCTCCTTTCTGTCCATCAGGACTTTTACTGCAGTGAACATCTCGGTAGGTTCCAGCTGGTCCCTGACACTCTGGACCAGTGGGCTGAGAGCATGCAGCAAAGGCTGCTGGGATACCAGGAGCAGGCCAGGAGGTTTCTGTGCACGAGCAGAGAGGGTATGCGCACAGAAATACACATTTGTCTTTATATACTTGTGAGGACCTTCATTGAAACTGTGTGTTCCCTGGCCCTAAAGCTGCATTCACATCACATCATGTTATCAGACAGCTCCAGATGTTATATGGTTACAGAGGTAACAAACACTGTAACAACATATCCATTAAATCTGGGTTTAACTACAATGAATGATGGTCTTTGGCTGATGTTAGTTTGTGCCAAGTCAGATGTATCTGAGCTTCCCAGTCCTCATCACAACTTGTTGATATGAATTGTGTTTGCAACTTGTAAACTGGTAATTACAATAAAACTGATAGGATGTGAACACAGCATTACCCCAGTCCTAACAACCAAATGCCAGACCCCAACCTTACCTCTTCCACAGTCCTTAACCCTTTGACCCAAGTCCTTTGATCCTTGTGTTGCAAAACCTGTCTGTCTGACAGAGTTGGTGAGCCAGCTGTCTGTGCTGGAGGAACTGCTGATGTCATTACCTTCAATTTTGATCGGTAAGCATGAGCGACAACAGGGGGAGGAGTTAAGAGAAGCTGTGGGCAGAGTCCAAAAAAAGCTGGAGGAGACACTGGCAGCCAGTGAGAAGGAGAAGGTATTTACCTGAGGGCAGAATATTGTTTGTAAACGTTTGGGTTAGTTCAGGCGAGCCTGCCTCAGAAACATGTGTGCCTGTTGTCAGAGTATGAACACCCATCAGCTGCGAGCATCTCTCACTGAGGACGAGCTGCAGATGTTGAACAGCCGAGAGGAGCTCCGACAGCAGCAGCTGCACACTGCCATCTGTTTCTCACACCTGGAACTTCAGGTAGGAGGAGGGAGGAGTCAGTGTCACAGCTGGGGTACATCCCAGTCCCCTTCATCATTTGCATCTTTCCTTCGTGTCCAAGGGTGGTTTCACATTAGGGACTCGTGCCCGAATCAGTGTACACATGGCCCCAAAGTCCAGTTTATAGTGATCAGCGTGAACACAAGCGTACTGGACTCAGGCACCATGCCCGAGTCAGCTTAAAGAGGTGTCTCAAACACAGTTCACGTGTACTCGAGTACGGTCTGCAGGAGATGTGAATGCAACTGTGCACAAATAAGGAAAGAGGCTGCAATGTGACATCATTTCCATTTGGCTCTGTCGGTTTAAGCATTAACAAATATGGCTGCGAAAGGATCTCTATGGAGTAACAAAGTAGTAAAATGCTTGCTTGAAATTTGGGCCAATGAAAACATACAAAGGCAACTGGATACTACGCACAAAAACTATTCATTAGTATTTATACAACCGTGGAACAGAAATAAATGTCGCCCTTGGGCTCGCTGTCTCAGCACGGAGCAGATGCACATCTGGCAGCTGGCACTCAAATTGTCCGTGGATGTCTGGGGATTTATAATGTTTGAGCTCTGGTACAGAGAGCGTTGCTATAATGTTTTGCCTTGAGACCCGGCAGCAGATGGAATAAGTGTTAGCGAGCTGTTAGCTAGCTAGCTGACTGGAGAGCTCCCCATTTCCACCGCGGATCCCAAACAAGGTCATAATATTCACTAATCACCAATAAAACAAATGTAATTTAAATATATCTAGCCCATATTTATTCAATCTAACCTAAAGTATCAATTCATATCCACCAAAGCATGTCCTCCGGGCTCCAAGAGTCAAGTCCAACTTTGAACACATGCACAGTTTGTGGAATCAGTGTATCGCCTGCTCAGTGCACCTGTGACCTCGTGACATATGTTGACAGGACACTGTTGTCAACTTGTATTCATATTGAGGAAAGCACAAACCTAACTTTTCACTTTGTATTTGTAATTTCTTGAAGTTGTAACCTTTTTAAAGCAAATTCTCAGAGACAAAATGCATAGCACATATTTTATATAAAATTAGATTTGTACAGGAGTTTACGAAAACACATTTTTGTGTACAACTTATTAATTTATGCACGACAACAGACTAATAATTCTGTCCAGCTGATTTTCCATGTTCTGTGTGGACTGGACTAGATTAGGCTTTTCTTTTCCTCTGCTTTTGTGTTGATCCAATGCAAACAACTGAAATATACATGAGAAAACCACAGAATCTGTGATTGCAACAGTTTTCTGGGAGAAGTGGTGCCTTATCTGACAGAAATGCAGGGATACCAATATTTTTGGCCATGACTGTGCACAAGTTGCTAATGTGAAAGCAGACCTGCAGAGGAGGGTGGAGCAATTGTGCCCGGGCATGGTATGAAGCTATCGTGCCAAATATGAAAACGCTGTAAGTTGTACCGATGTAAGAAGGGAAAAAATGCCAGGAGAGAGGAACTGAGGAAACGCACTCTTAGAGACATGAGACCTCCTTTCCTCTGATCCTTCATCTGAAGCATCCTATCACCAGCTGATTTCTGATGAAGGGGTATGTCAGTCCAAAAGGACTTCCAATAAGGATACTCTCATGTGTCCTTGCTCATGACTCCTCCAGTAGCCTCTTTGCTCCTCAGTACAGGAGGAAGAGCTTTGAGCCATCCCAAGATGGCGTACTAAAATTGCTTCCAGGTCCAGCTAGGACCTAAAGTAAATAAGAGAACTGGGATGTAGCCCAGGTAGCAACAGTATCTGTCAGACCTGCTTCATCTGTCTGACTCTGTGTGTGTGTGTGTGTGTGTGTGTGTGTGTGTGTGTTCAGGATAGTGTGCGAGTCAGGGGGGCAGAGTTTGTGACATCACTGGCGTCCCTGACAGAGAAGCTGCTTCATCACCTGGACAACCTGCTCACAACTGCAGGTAAATTTTCACCTGTAACTTTTGACCTTAGCCAGCCTGTTCAGGTGGTAACCTTACCTGCACCAGAAACCCCTGCTGCACCAAAGTAGTACCAGAAAGCGAGGGAGGAGGGGGTCCATGCACGTAGAGCAGTCACCAGTGATTGATTAAATGCCCATGTCTTCACACCTCAAGCGTTAGCTTTACAAGCACCGTGTGTAAACACACCGCTGACTGCCTGTGGGGGGAGCAGCCCCTCCCTCCTCTAAACAGAGACCGACAGACAGAAAATACTGCTTTGGCTACGCTCGATGATGGTTAAGGGACGTATGGGATGTACCACTGGCTGGGTTCCCATAGTGGAAACAAAGCAATGTGGAACCAGCTCCAGACTGGCGCCAGCTCAGAATTAGCACATGGTTTGTGTTTGTTGAAAAGGGGCAAGAGTGTTCACATTTGGATATGAAGTAGTAGTTAGTATCTGCCCTGTGATGACTCTGTAGTTCTGAGTGTGTGTTGTCCTGCTCCCACTTATTCTTTTATTCACATCGATAAAAAATAACAGTGTGCCATATTAATTTCAGTTTCAATTTCACTAGATAGTTAAGGGACATTCACTGTAGCTAAATATAAGTATCGATTTTGGCAAATACTTAATATTAAAGGAATTCAGTTTGGTGTCAGGACCAAAGAACTGGACTGGGACATCCCTAGGCTTTACAGATGGCCATAGAAAGTTGGCAGCAGATAAATAACAGGAGACCTATGTGAATTAAACTTAAAGGGAAACAAAGAGGCTCAGAGTCTGTGTGGAGTTGTTCATTTGATATTTCTTCTGTGTGATGAGAGCCACTGTGTGTCCAAACACAGTTCCTGTGTAAATTAGCTGAAATGAGGAGAAAGAAATTCTCTGCACTGTCCTGTAATAAATTCTTAAAAATGCTCCAGAAATACTTTAAAAGAAAGTCATCGGCTCCAAGTCTAAGGCCAGTTCTCCAAAACTAGTCCACTGATCGTTTGACGGACTCCGTCAGTCCCTCACCTTGCAGGTCATAGCACTGAATCAGCAGGACTCCTGAACACAACACCTAATATAAAAGTTTGACCCTGTTTTGACCTTTGAAATCCTTTCATTTGGGATGTTCTCATGGTTTCTGTGTTTCTGTAGAAAAGTATGAAGAAGATAGTGCCGTTACCATGGACACAGGAGCTGAACCAAGACCCTGCATGGAAAACAGGTAACATCTGACCTGTGACCTGCTGATTGACCCCCACAGTTCAGGGGTGTTTTCAATACCTAGTACACCAAGTTCGGATTCCTGTACTTGGGAATTTGCACCTGGTAAGTTGGATCTTTAAAGAGCCCACGGTGCTTTTCCTTGTTTTTTGGTTTATCTACAATGTTACAACAGTGAATTATCATCTTAGACGTGACCTAAAGCTCAAAAAATGACGTGTATGTATGTTCTGGTATATTTATGCGGAAGTAACATGGTTTATACACGTCTCTCAGACTCTTGTTCATGAGACTTTTTTCTAACAAAATTAAGTATTATGCGATAGTTTAAGGATTTCCTTGAATGGTCATAAATCCAGGCACATTCATGTGAACTTGCCTGACATCCATCAGTGCCCTCATCATATTCGCAAAATGTTTTTGCCTTTTTTGTTATGTACAGTATGTTTTCAGTAAAGCTTATTAAAAAAAACAACAACATCCACGGTGCCATTGTAAAAGCTGAATTTTTCAACTGTGCCCTGATTTGTGGATATATTTTCCTCCTGCTGCTGCACTGTGACCAGAGGATATGGAGAACGATACAGGGCCTGAGGTTACTGCATGTGCGGGAATGTTCCTGTACAGGGACTCGCTGTTTTACCTGACCTAGTAAAATGCTGGATTCCCCTGGAGCACAGTACCTGTTTGTCCTGACTGCTTGAGGCCAGTGTGTCTGCAGCATGTGATGTGTTGCTGGTTAACCAGCGGATTAACGACCCATGATGTTATTGTCATTGCTACGCTACCTGTTGGAACTAATTTCACTGCTTTGGGACTGTATGTGGTCGTGTAAGACGCAGTGACCATCGGTTGTATTTACCAACCTTGGAGCTACTTGAAAGGGAGTGATGTTTCCACTACTCGGTGGGACTTAATGGTTAGTTTAACAAACACAGGTTGTGTGTCTATTAATGCCTTGTTTCTGTAACATTTGAGAGAATTGTTGTAAGGCTGGCGAAGTTACTATGTCTGCATTATGTCAGTTAAAACATGGGGTTTCTCAGTTACCCTCTTTGTTTAGAGTGTTACACATCTTTTTGGTACATATACCATTATTTACCTATCTATGGAGGAGACATTCACAAGTTAATTAATGTTGTTGCAGTTTGTTGTGCTGTCCACTTGTGACACAACACCAGCAACAGGAGTTGTGCGCGTTCCCAAACTGTTTCCTCGTTTTTAGGAAGAGGCTCTCTGGTTTTATCATTCTGGAAAAATTAGACTATTTTGAGTAATGAGGGGTGCCAAGCTAATCTAGTGGTAGCCAGGATTAAACATTAAGTGGCTGGAAACAAGCAAAATGAGCAGCCAAGGGCTCTTTAAGTACAATCTCTGGAGAAGGGGAGTTTGCAGTACTTTCACTGTGCAGTTGGAGCACCGGCGTCCCTGCTGGCAGACTGCTGTGCTCTGAATGAGATGTAGCTGCCTGCTAATTATAGCTAGCTTTTGTCTGTTAGCAGAAACTGGCATCTTTGAAGACTTTGGAGCAAATTTCCAAATTAGCATTACTTGATAAACTGACCACGTCTTCAGTGGTGATGTGATGCCCACCAATGTGTGCCCACATTTGTATGAATATGTATTTTACTTTGATATAAAACATGTAACAGTTGTTCTATCTTCCCTTGAAGAGATGTTTGGTACCATTGAAATGCCAATATATTGTATCTGTAGTTGCACCATTTTGGACAGTAGGTGGCAGTGTGAGTTTGTGGTTTACTCCAGGGACTGTAGACGGGAGTGCTCGCACCGCTATTTCCTCATAATGGCAGAGAACACCGAAAAGAGGAAACACGTCTCCCTGTCTCATCATTTCTTTCCTGTATTACAGGTTAGTGTTGAACAAGAGAACAAGTACTTAAATAAAAGATCTTGTTGGCTTCAAAGCACATTGATGCAGATGTGAAGTACAGTGCAAGTACAGTCCAAGATGTTTTCCTTCACACTGTATATCAAGGCTTAGGGCATAAGCATGACGACATTCCCAGAGAACTCAAGCCATTGCATGGGGACAATAATGTAACTGATGAAGCCATTCTCAAACAAATGAAGAAAATAATGAGTGATGAAAGCGAGAGGCAGCGGCGGCTGGGTCCAGTCACTTGCCCGAGACACATGAATGTGCACAGTGCCCAGCTTAAGGTTAATGCTGCTCAGTACCCAAGTGAAAAGAAAAGTCTACCAAAGAAATCTAAGACAGACACAGTCCAACATTTAACAGAAAAAAGTCGAAAAACTCATGAGCATGGTTGAACTTATGAAGCAGTCAATACAGACACAAAAGCCAGACCCAGATAGCCATGCTTGGAAAGGTAAAGCAGATCAGAGAGGGAAAATATATGGCTGTGATAGGTGTGTTAACCAGGGTCACCCAGGGTGTTCTCATTGTTTCCACTGTGGTGAGGAAGGCCACAGAGCAGTGGGCTGTTTGAAGAAACCCACACGCCAGGCAAACTGGCGCTGGTCTCTGTCAGGGGACAGACAGTGACTGGGATGCAATCTCTGTCCCGCAGCCACACATGCCAACCTGGTGAGTCTGAGGAAAAAGGAGTAAAAGGCTCTAATACTCAAAAAGAAAAAAAAGCCTCTGAAAACTCCGAACAGGAACAGTCGATTAAGACATCCAGTGTATCCTCCCTTAACTTACCTAGCAGCAAAAGTGAGCATCTGGCAAAGCTTATAGGAAGAAAAGCCTTCACTTGGTGTAACCTCAATGGTTTAGCAGTTAGTGCATTGCTAGATACAAGAGCCCAAGTTAGCGTGATTGACAGAGATTGGAAAAACAAGTACTTGCCAGACACAAGTTAGACCACTTAGTGAACTCACTGATGATGATGAGGAGGTAAAAATCTATGCTGTGAACTGGGATATTCTCCCATTTGGTGGTTGGGTCACAGTAATAGTCAACTTGATGGGAAATGAGGATCCTAGCTTGTCAATTACTGTGCCTTTCCTTGTTAGTAGCCTCCCTCTAGAGAGCCCGTTGCTGGGGTTTAATGTGCTGGAAGAGGTGATCAGAGAACAGCCTGAAAAGTTGACACCAACCCTGACCAACTTACTCTGCAATGCCATATTGTTCCCAGTGGAGAAGGCAGAGCTCCTGTTGAACTTCATTCAAACAGACAAACCCCTTGCACCGTGGGGACATCTACGGACAGGTAACCATGACACTGTTGTGCCAGCAGGTCAATTGGCATGGGTTAAGTGCCAAATCCCACCCAATATGAGTTTGTCAGACCCAGTCCTCCTGTTCGAGCCTGAGGACAACAATGTACAACTGGCAGAACTGGATGCTGGTGAAGGGTTGCTGGAGGTACAAAATGCAAAAAGGCCATATGTGGTGGTCCCGGTGGGGAAAAACACAAAACACGCAATTACACTCCCAAGAAAGACAGCCTTGGGCAGCCTTCATTATGTTGATAAAGTGCTAATGACAGATTCTTCTGAAGCCCCTGAACCTAAAATAGCCATCAACAGTGTTGCTACAGTGCCTGCTGAAACTAGCCCAACTTCATGGCACCCCCCTGTCGACCTTAGCCATCTTAACAATGAACAGAGGACAAAAGTTAACAAAATTTTTTGTGAAGAAGCTGAGGCTTTTGCACGCGACAGTAGTGACATCGGATGCATACCAACCTTACAGATGTCTATCACTGTTATGGAGGAAATCCCTGTACAGAGAACTTACTCATCAGTACCAAAGCCACTGTTCAAAGAGGTGAAAGAGTACATGCAGGAACTGTTGGGGAAGGGCTGGATAGTTAAGTCTAAGTCATCATATGCTGCCCCAGTTGTCTGTGTCAGAAAGAAAGATGGCAGCCTGCGGCTATGCATTGACTACCGTCTCCTGAATAAGAAGACTGTTCCAGATCGACACGGATTACCCAGGGTACAAGACCTGACGGGAGGGTTACACCTGGTTTAGTATCCTGGACCAGGGCAAAGCTTACCATCAGGGCTTCATCGCCAAGGGGTCCCAGCACTTCACCACCTTCATTACTCCCTGGGGTCTTTACGAATGGGTGCGTATTCCATTTGGACTCTCAAATGCCCCGGCAGCATTTCAATGGAGCATGGAGGAGATGCTAGGCTCCCTCAGAGATGAATGCTGCATTCCTTATCTCAACGATGTGATATGCTATGCAAAAACATTTGACGAGCATGTTGAGAATCATCGCAAAGTTCTCCAGGCCCTACAGTGCCATGGAGTAAAACTGAGACCTGAGAAATGTGAACTCTTCAGACGAGAAGTCAGGTATGTGGGTCGCATTGTGTCGACAGAGGGAGTCAAAGTGGACCCGCATGACATCGAAGCTGTACAAACCCTGACAAGTAAAGCACCACAGACAGTTGGTGATGTAAGGAAACTGACAGGATTTCTGGGTTATTACCGATCCTACATCCAGGACTTCTCCCGGATAGCAAAACCAATCTATGAGCTACTTCAAACCAGGGCAGGGAGAAATTTGACACTAACAGGGGAGAAATACTAAGCGCTCACAGTTATCTTCTCGGGAACCTGTCATTTGGGCTACTGAACACCAGAAAGCCCTTGAACAACTGGTCACTCTTTTAACAAACCCTCCTGTCCTGGCTTACCCTGACTTCAGCCTACCATTCACAGCGTCAGCGTCAGAGTGGCAAACTGAGAGTTATTGGATATGGTTCAAGAACGTTGACACCAGCCAAGCGCAACTACCATCTACATAGTGGGAAACTAGAGTTCCTCACATTGAAATGGGCTGTGTGTGAAAAATTTCGAGACTACCTGTATTATGCTCCTCATTTTACTGTGTACACTGACAACAATCCGTGGACCTATGTTATGAGTACTGCGAAGCTCAATGCTACAGGACACCAGTGGGTGGGGGAGCTCCCAGATTTTCAATTTGACATCAGGTACAGGCCGGGAAAGTCAAATATGGATGCAGACACACTGTCACATCTCCCTTTGGATATGGAGCAGTATGAAGCAGCCTGTATAAGGGAGTTCTCAGATGAAGTCATGCATGCTATATGGGATGGGAGTCAGGCAGCAGAAAGAAAAAATGTACTTGGGTTGCAGTACTCAACGTTTCTTCCTCAGACTTTGATCAACAGCTTCCCTCCCACCTGCCAGCCATCAGCCACCATGAACTGGTGAGAGCACAGAGAGAGGATCAAGCCATAGGCATGATAGTTGAGTTAAAGGAGTCAGACAAAAAGTTAACAGATGAAAGATGCAGCATAATGACTGGGGCCACCTGGAAGCTGTCTTATGAGTGGAGTAAATTATACCTTGATAACAATCGGAAACAGCTGGTTCTCCCATCAAAGTACAGGTCACTAGCCCTGAGATATCGTCATAATGAGATGGGCCATGTGGGAACAGAACGAGTGTTTCACCTTGCCAGGGAGAGATTTTACTGGCCCTTTATGGCTAAAGAGATTGAAGATTATGTCACCAGGAAGTGCCCATGTATTAAGTTAAAGAAGCCATCCACACACACCTGGGCCCCTATGGTCAGCATTACATCTAACTCACCCCTAGAGCTTGTGTGTATTGATTATTTACATTTGGAAGCCAGTCGTGGAGGATATGAGTACATCCTTGTAGTAATTCATCACTTCACCAGGTTTGCCCAGGCATATCCAACAAAGAACAAAAGTGGGAAAATAGCAGCGGAGCAGATCTTCAGTGATTTCATACCCCAATTTGGATACCCATCAAAACTACATCACGATCAGGGTCGCGAATTTGAGAATGAACTGTTTTGAACATTGCAGCAGCTGTCTGGGGTCAGCCACTCAAGAACATCACCCTACCACCCACAAGGAAACCCAGCTGAGCGTCTGAACCGCACTATACTCCAAATGCTGAGAACAGTAACTGAAAGTGAAAAGCAGCAGTTGAAGGATCACCTCCCACATGTTCTCCACGCATACAACTGTACACACCATGAAGCCACTGGTTATTCACCTTTTTTCCTTCTCTATGGCCATCATCCACGTCTCAGGGTGGACTTGTTATTCGGGCTACATGGGGAGCAAGGATCATATTCTCCTAGGGGATATGCAGAAAAGTGGGCTGAAAAAATGTCAGCAGCTTACCGGATTCCCAATGAAAATAGTCAAAAATCCAGTGCAAGGGGGAAAGTAACATATGACAAGAAAGCAAAAGGAGTTGTGTTACAACCCGGAGACAGGGTCCTTGTAAGGAACCTGAGTGAGCGTGGAGGACCAGGCAAGCTAAGATCTGGGAGAAAAATATTTATATAGTCAAAGAGCAACTTGCTGAGAGTCCCATGTACATAGTCCGTCCCGAGACTGGAAACCAGCAGAAAACCAGGACACTACACCGCAACCTTTTGTTACTGGTGAATGACCTACCTGTCGATTCCTCTCCATCCCATTCACACCCCACAAAACTGCTAGAGTCAATAAGCAAATGTTGAGTTATGATTCAAGGGTGAGTGGTAGAGTGAAACTAGGGAAATATGGTTCTGTGTATTCGTGGAAAGTAAGCTAATGCCCACCGAGAGCAGTAGTAATGGCGGTGGTACACTTGATCATTCTCTTAAGCAACATGCTAGCTACAAGATACTAAGTGGGGCACACGTCTCCTCTTAAGTTCACAGGTCATCTGGCGCCTTGTTTAGTCTGTTCTGTTAACTTGCTAGAAGGTGTTTTTTCCAGTGATTTGGTTACTGACACAATTGCTTATAAGTCCAAGGCTTGCTAGATAGTAAATTTATGTTAGTGCATTGAGAGTGCAATTATAGTCAAACTATATTCGAAGTTAACCTTAGAGAAACAGTTTTGGACTAACTAGTGACATGAAGTTGTACTGTTTGTATTGACTTGTGTGGCCATGTAAAGCCAAGAAACCTGTATAAAGATACCGCTAAGGTACAGTAGTTATGATACTGGAAAAAAGGGACAATGCACCGTGTTCAGTGAACTGCTGATGTTTGTGAATAAATAATGGCGGAGAACACCGAAAAGAGGAAACACGTCTCCCTGTCTCATCATTTCTTTCCTGTATTACAGGATACTTGTAACTGTTCACGTGTGCTACAGCACAGTATCCGTAACAGTGACTTTCTTGCCTGAAAAACTATCAAAACTTTATAAAGCAGCATTTACCAGTCCTAGGACTGAAATTATAAAAGCTATGTACCTCAAACTCCGATAGCTGGCACACAGTGCATTTTGGGATACTTGTGTGCTCCATGTCCACACAAGTCAGCTCCCAAAGCATCCTTGATAAAATGGGTGGCGCAAGAACACTTTTAGTTTTTGGATGTGCACTTGGCTGGATGCAGGCTTTGGTTACCTCCAAAATTGCTTACTTCATAGTAGGCTAAGATGTGTATGCAAGACAAGTAGTACCTCTGAATTCTTAGTATTGCAGAAAACTACATGAGTAGTGCCCGGTTGACCTACATAACTTTGTAGTGTGGAAGCAATGCATACTACACTATCTCAGCATCAGCCAGTCAATGGTGCCAGCTAGCTAGCACTACTTAGTGGGCATAGCTGTAGCCATTGTGCTTGTACTTTCACGTCCAATAACCTGTGGGCTACATAATAAGTTGTACAGTGTGGTGCTTCATGTAAAGTAATGGGTATATTACATTTTAACAGGGGCCTCCAGCCTAAATTTTACTCTCTGTAACAAGTGACGGCTGTGCTACTGCTATTATGAATGAATGAAGAACGAGCGACTGGTGTTGTGACATGTAAACAACTCTGTGTGTGTGGCAGGATTTGGTCTGGTATACCGTACCTGTCGCCGCCCATTGTCAACACTGCTGACCCACCATCCCCTGTTACCATGGCAACAACAGCATCTGTCACCACAGCCAGGTGCACCCCAGGACATCTGGCTGTGATCGAGCAGAGAGATGCTGCTGTGAAGGTACGCAAGCACACACATTTACACAAAGAAAGAATTATGTATCCACTTAACGTCTGTATGTGTGTGTGTGTGTGTGTGTGTGTGTGTCAGAGGTTCGAGCAGCTGTTCAGGGCGGAGTTGTCACGTTCAGAGGCCGACAAACGAAGACAACTGAGTGAAGTGCAGAGCTGGAACTCACACTGGAGACAACAGATACACACCCTGAAATACACACACCAACTCTAGCACACTGACATTTGCTTGAAAGGAACTGATTGATGTACATTGTTATGTCATGAGCTGTAGTGATGCCTGCTAATAAACCACAGATGAAGCATACTGTCGGGCTTTGTGTGTAGTTCCATTCATCCAGCAGCAGGTGGAGTAACAAACACAGGACATGGAAACACTGACCCCCTCAGACCTCACAAGAAGCTGTTCTCTGCACATCTTCCAACTACATGCAGCTGGGTCATGTACTCAGATCCAGGACAGCAAACATCTCAGAAGACACATAACTCAGACCACCATCAGCTGCAGAAGAAGAACAGATGCAGATGTCCAGTCCAAAAGTATGAGGATACCTGAACATGTTATCTGAGTGCTGTTTTGGGATCACATGAATATGGCTGCAGGGATTTGCTTTCGTACAATCCAGACACCAGCATGCACTGATGTATGTAGGCAGGACTGTCCACATTTTTTGGCCATATTAGTGTTTGTTTACTGATGTAATGTGCTGTGCCTACTGTTCACTATATTTTGGGCATCAGCAGACTCATAAGGTACACTGATCTATTCTGTATTCAGTTTTCCATTATTTTATATTTTGACGTATAAATAATGTGATTGTTCTTTTTCTCACAGAGACGCAGGGGGAGCTCTGAGAAGCTGGAGGATATGAACCAGGTGGTAGTTCTCATGGCAATCATAAACCTAACAATGGAAGACAGAAGCACCAGTTTACACATCTGTCAGTGATGTTCTGGTCAACAGTCCACCACACACACACTACACCTCACAAAGTAAGGTATGAGTAACTGTCCCTCATTTTTTTCAGAACAGTTTGTCTTGTTTCAGTTTTGAAAAAGTTTACATCCAACAGAGTCTCCCAGCTGATGACAAACATCTGGGCTTCTGTGCATATGACAAAATAAACACTTTGAACTTTGAACTTCATGGTCTGGATTGGGGTGTGTAAGATTTGATTCTTATAGGCTCTAGTTACTTTATAAGCTTTAGTTACTTCTCATACCTTTAGTTCCCTTTAGTTACTTTTCATAACTCTAGTTTCCTTTAGTCCAGTGGACCAGAGTCAGCAGTCCACCTCCACCTGAAGGAGAAAGGACATTCTTTTGAGGACAGTGAAGTCCAGATCCTCTCCAGAGAACATTGCTGGTTTTAGAGAGGATTTAAGGAAGCTATTTTTGTAAAAAATAGAACACCCCTCACTAAATAGGGGTGGTGGACTAAGACACAACTTGTCATCGATCTACAATCCTGTTTTGAGATCTCTGCCCAAACATGCCCACCAGGACAATGGGTGTTGGTCGACAGGAGGATTTCAAAGACAGGTAACGACTCTCACCGATACTGGGCTATAAGGACTCAGTCGTTAAGGGACACTGTTGGCCATCAAAGGACTGAAACACCACCGAGGGGGATAAATATCTCTGGCTCAACACCAGTCAGTCAGAACTGATGAAGCCTCTTGGATGAGAGGTGAGGCAGATAAGTAGGCAGGCGAGCAGCAGGAACCAGGAGGATCAGAGGACTAGGATGGACAGGTGAGTAGACAGGAGAGCCGCAGGAACCAGGATGATCGCTGGAGGTAATCACGGCAGGGAGGATCACAGGAGGGACACAGGAACTAGAGGATTGCCATCAGGTAAGCAGAGTAGCGAGCGCCCTCAGGTAATCACAGCAGGGAAGATTGCCAACTTGGGGTGGCTGTGGCTCATGAGGTAGGGCAGTCGTCTCCTGACCAGCAAGTCGGTGGTTCGAATTCTGGTCTCCCCGTGTGCCTAAGTGTCCCTGAGCAAGACACTGAACCCCGAATCGCTCCCGGTGGCTTGACTAGTGCCGTTGTGTGGCAGCCTCTCACCGTTGTGTGTGAATGGGTGAATAGTGTATCATCTCCTGTAAAGCGCTTTGGCCAGTGCAACACACTGTGGAAAAATGCACTATATAAATACAGTCCATTTACCAACTTGTCTGTCCGCATTGAACATTAAAAACTTGGTCTCACAGTCAATGTCACTGTTAATGTCATCAATGATCTGGAAACAAGGGAGTGCCTGCCAGCGCATTATGTAGGGAAGGTTTGTAATTTAGGGAATGAGCCTCAGCTGTGCACCACACCAGGGAGTGAATTAGCAGGTGATGCGTCTCAGCTGTGTTTCTTTCAAATAAGATATTAAATAAAAACTATTAAATCAACATGGACATGGCAGATATTAACCACCATTAAACCATCTCCAGTAACAACACTGTTTCTTAGAAAGTATGTATAATTTCTTTTGTTGGACAGGTTGTGTGGAAAGCCCAGCATTCGTCTTACATGTTGTTTGACCATTCAGTGTGGCAGTGGGATCATCTCACAGGAACCTGACCTACTGTACCTTACAAACAACCAGTTCTTATACCAGAATATGCTATTTATAACATTATCCAGCTTCATAGTGAGAATGTGTTTGCAGAACACAAAGTGAGATGATTTTAATCTCATGAATGATTTTATGCTGAAAATAAAAACACAGTAAGTAGATTTGACAGCACGATCCACAGAAATTAAATATTAATAGTTTTAATTAAAAACATGCTTAAGAAATTCAAAAAATCTTTAATTGATGAACACGAATAAAATCATCATCATCATCAACCTGTCATGATTCTGCCCTGCCCGTTTCCGTTCTCGTGCTTTTATTTTACATTACTTCCTGTTTCTGTTTCACCTCAATTTCGGACTTTTTACTTTGATCAGCATTGTTTTCACCTGCTTCTGATTATTTGCACCTGTTTTCACCCCTATTTAGGCAGCTGACTCGCACCAGGCAGCTGCCATATTGTTCTAGACCCATGTTCAGACTTTCCAGTGTTTCTTCTCGTGCATGTATTTCCCGTTATGACTTTGGATTGCCTTTGACCACCGAATATTGATTTGCCCTTCTGTTTTGGACTGCTCTCCTGGTATTTGGCTATCAGACTTCCCTCTCTGACCCTTCGCTTCGGATCTCTCGGCTGTGTGAGTTTGCTGGTTCTGACCTTGGACTGTGTTCCTGACCTGTGAGTGTTTTTGTGTTTACGTGGGTTTAGTGATCAGTCTGTGAGCATAATAAAGAGACTGTTTTCACCTTTACTCGTCTGGCATTGTAATAGAGTCCGCCAATTAACCTGGCTGGTAGTGGTATTGGGAATCCCTGACACAACCGTTTATTTGAGAGGAGGCTCAAATAAAATCAGTATTAAAAATCCAAAATTACAAGACACATATTTAAAACCAAAATATATACACAAAATCAAAGTAAATGAAATCATATTAAAAAAGTGTCCAAATCACATTTAAGCTGTAAAATAATATATAAAAGTAGTTTAAATGAGGTAAAGGAGTGAGCACAGCCAGGGTAGTTTTCTGCAAACTATCCCATCTTTGCAGCAGGATAGTAACAGAAGGACGTCTTTCCTACTTCTGTGTTGGCAAAAAGGGCTGCAGAACAAGACAATCTTGTGAGCAGGCCTGGTACATTGAGGACTTGTAACTAAGGAGGCCTGTAATATATTCAGGCAGCTCTATAGATGGATAACCTACAAAACAGTAGTATTTACTTTAGTTATTGTTGTACCCCGTACTTTTTACCATACTGACTCTGAGAGACGAGGCAGTCCAAGTAACCACAAAACAGTGCTGATTTATTCAAAGGATCAGAGGTAAAATTAACATTACACGCTCAAGTATCTTGCACCTCCATACTGCACGCAGGCAGATGTAAGATGAAAGAACCTGAGCCCACCAGGCCTATACATTATATCCCCTCGGTTGGGCTAGCCCTATACTACACAGAAACATCAACCCGGACGT